ACACTTGTCAGCCAAACCACACACTTGTCAGCCAAACACAAACACTTGTCAGCCAAACACACACAAACACTTCAGCCAAACACACTTTGTCAGCTGAATACACACACTTGTCAGCCAAACACACACACTTGTCAGCTGAATACAAACACACTTGTCAGCCAAACACACTTGTCAGCTGAATACAAACACACTTGTCAGCCAAACACACTTGTCAGCTGAATACAAACACACTTGTCAGCCAAACACACACACTTGTCAGCTGAATACAAACACACTTGTCAGCCAAACACACACTTGTCAGCCAAACACACACTTGTCAGCCAAACACACACACTTGTCAGCTGAATACAAACACACTTGTCAGCCAAACACACACTTGTCAGCCAAACACACTTGTCAGCCAAACACACACTTGTCAGCAAAACACACTTGTCAGCTGAATACAAACACACTTGTCAGCCAAACACACACTTGTCAGCCACACACTTGTCAGCCAAACACACACTTGTCAGCAAAACACTTTGTCACACACACTTGTCAGCCAAACACACACACTTGTCAGCTGAATACAAACACACTTGTCAGCCAAACACACACTTGTCAGCCAAACACACACTTGTCAGCCAAACACACACACTTGTCAGCCAAACACACACACTTGTCAGCTGAATACAAACACACTTGTCAGCTGAATACAAACACACTTGTCAGCCAAACACACACTTGTCAGCCAAACACACACACTTGTCAGCTGAATACAAACACACTTGTCAGCAAAACACACACACACAGCTGAATACAAACATGAAGCCAAACACACACACTTGTCAGCTGAATACAAACACACTTGTCAGCCAAACACACACACACTTGACATGAACACACACACACACTTGTCAGCTGAACACACACATATGCTTGTCAGCTGAACACACACACACACACACACTTGTCAGCTAAACACACACACTTGTCAGCTAAACACACACACACACACATGTCAGCTGAACACAGACAAAAATATAGGTCTAGCCCTATATGCCTAAAGGCGTGGAAAAGGGTCCTTTATCTTACTTAAAACATTTTATACTGGTTTGACTGTAACATGACACCCTGTTTTACTGTCACATGATGCCCTGTTGTACTGTCACATGACACCCTGTTGTACTGTCACATGACACCCTGTTGTACTGTCACATGGCACCCTGTTTTACTGTCACATGACACCTGTTTTACTGGCACATGACACCTGTTTTGCTGCCACATGACACCCTGTTTAAGTCTGAAGATGAAATTCTGAATTTTTTGTGAGCATGAGCATCCTGGTTAGTGTAACGATGACACCCTGGTTAGTGTAAAGTGACACCCTGGTTATTGTAAAGTGACACCCTGGTTAGTGTAAAGTGACACCCTGGTTAGTGTAAAGATGACACCCTGGTTAGTGTAAAGATGACACCCTGGTAAGTGTAAAGATGACACCCTGGTAAGTGTAAATATGACACCCTGGTTAGTGTAAAGATAACACCCTGGTTAGTGTAAAGATAACACCCTGGTTAGTGTAAAGATTACACTCTGGTTAGTGTAAAGATGACACCCTGGTTAGTGTAAAGATTACACTCTGGTTAGTGTAAAGATGACACCCTGGTTAGTGTAAAGATGACACCCTGGTTAGTGTAAAGATTACACCCTGGTTAGTGTAAAGATGACACCCTGGTTAGTGTAAAGATGACACCCTGGTTAGTGTAAAGATTACACTCTGGTTAGTGTAAAGATTACACCCTGGTTAGTGTAAAGATTACACTCTGGTTAGTGTAAAGATTACACTCTGGTTAGTGTAAAGATGACATCCTGGTTAGTGTAAAGATTACACTCTGGTTAGTGTAAAGATTACACTCTGGTTAGTGTAAAGATTACACTCTGGTTAGTGTAAAGATGACACCCTGGTTAGTGTAAAGATGACATCCTGGTTAGTGTAAAGATGACACCCTGGTTAGTGTAAAGATGACACCCTGGTTTTGTTGTGAACATGACTCAACTACAATGGCAGCCTAATGTGACCAGAATACTAGACAGACTACTAGGACATATGGCTGTGAGAATATCTCCGGCCAGCTAGTCTGAGGTATCTGTGTGTGGACAGTTATGTAAACAATAATCCAGCTATTGATACTGCAGCAGGCGGGTTGAAGGATGGCTTTCACATACTCAATCATGACATAATGAGGACAGGGTAATTAGTTATCCTGTTCATGTCCCTTCCTGCCAAAAACAAACATATCTGGTAAACATTAAAGGTGTTTTGGTACATCCCAGACTTTTACTGGCAGGAGACAATATCTGGACTCAAACCTTACCACTGCGCAAACTACTATAATATAAGGCTTCTGAAACATTATGTGAGTAACTAAACTACATAACAAAATTAAATTGCATCAATGCATAGCAAAATACAAACAGCAAATTATGCCCACAACATGGAAGTTAGTTATCAGGAGGTTGACAAGCTGTGACACTAACGCAAATGTCAGATAAAGCTGGATTCATTATGGCTAAGAAAAAAATAAACCTTGCCACTTGTCACGACAGCTGAGAACAGCATTCAGTTGTTGACCGGGAGCAGCTGAGAACAGCAATAAGTTGTTGACCAGGGCAGCTGAGAACAGCAATCAGTTGTTGACCAGGGAAGCTGAGAACAGCAATCAGTTGTTGACCAGGACAGCTGAGAACAGCAATCAGTTGTTGACCAGGGAAGCTGAGAACAGCAATCAGTTGTTGACCAGGGAAGCTGAGAACAGCAATCAGTTGTTGACCAGGGAAGCTGAGAACAGCAATCAGTTGTTGACCAGTGTTCAGCTAAAGAAACAGCAAGTTGTTTGACCAGGACAGTCTGAGAACAGCAATCAGTTGTTGACCAGGACAGCTGAGAACAGCAATCAGTTGTTGACCAGGAGAATCAGAGACATGACTCAGTTGTTGACACAGGAATAGCTGAGAACAAGCAATTCAGTTGTTAGAACCAGGGCACTACAGTATCAACAAATACAACTGTTGGCAACATGCCTGTAGCCATGCCATGTCAGCTCTCTTCAAGTATTCCAAATCCTTGAGGATATCCTCATGAACCAGTGTTCAGCGCATAAATATGATAAAGTAGTTTTCTTGGAAGTCTGTAAGCATAATTAAGCACTCCTGGGTACTTGACTGCCTGATACTCGTTACATGCCAGAGAATCTATCAGATCTGACCTGAAGTCAAATTCTCTAGTTGAAGACAATCTTAGCCACAGGTCAGGAACACAACCATGACTGGCCAGCCCTATACAGAATGATGATGTTCTCAACAAGATACAAATTATCTGGGATACAGAATAATGATGTTCAGTGATACAGAAATGATCTGTGCTCAAACAAGATACTTTGATGATGTGCATCAAGCAACCTACCAAATGATGATTCACAAAATGCAGAATGATGATGTGGCTCCAGTTAGAGAATGATCTAAGTGGTCAAAAACAGTACAAAATGATGTATAGTAGTCAAAGAATGTCATCAAGAATGATGTTTCTCTGAGGATGTGTGGTCAAAGATACGATGATGATGTCCAAACAAGATACATTAAATGATGTTCTGTCAAACAAGATACAGAATGATGATGTGGTCAAAACTCATAGATGCCAGAAGAATGATATGGTCAAACAAGATACAGAATGATGATCGTCAAACAAGATACGAATGATGATGTGAATTGTCTACTCCATGAGGTAGCAACATGAGCTCAAACAACATACAGAATGATGATGTGGTCAAACAAGGATACAGAATGATGATGTTCTCAAACAAGATACAAGATATGTTGGTCAGAACATGATACAGAATGATGATGTGTCAAACAAGATACAGAATGATGATGTGCTCAAAACAAAGATACAGAATGATGATGTGCTCAAACAAGATACAGAATGATGATGGGTCAAACAAGATACAGAATGATGATGTGGTCAAACAAGATACAGAATGATGATGTGGTCAAACAAGATACAGAATGATGATGTGGTCAAACAAGATACAGAATGATGATGTGGTCAAACAAGATACAGAATGATGATGTGGTCGAACAAGATACAGAATGATGATGTGGTCAAACAAGATACAGAATGATGATGTGGTCAAACAACATACAGAATGATGATGTGCAAAACACAAACAAATGATATGTGCAAACCAATGATGATGTGGTCAAACAAGATACAGAATGATGATGTTCTCAAACAACATACAGAATGATGATGTGGTCAAACAACATACAGAATGATGATGTGCTCAAACAAGATACAGAATGATGATGTGCTCAAACAAGATACAGAATGATGATGTGGCAAATGTACTAGTGTTGTGACAATGACAGACATGGAGCTCATCTATAGAGATACTAATGTACTGGTGTTGTGACAATGACAGACATGGAGCTCACCTAAAGAGATACTAATGTACTAGTGTTGTGACAATGACAGACATGGAGCTCACCTATAGAGATACTAATGTACTAGTGTTGTGACAATGACAGACATGGAGCTCACCTATAGAGATACTAATGTACTGGTGTTGTGACAATGAAAGACATGGAGCTCACCTATAGAGATACTAATGTACTAGTGTTGTGACAATGACAGACATGGAGCTCACCTATAGAGATACTAATGTACTGGTGTTGTGACAATGAAAGACATGGAGCTCACCTATAGAGATACAAATGTACTGGTGTTGTGACAATGACAGACACTGAGCTCACCTATAGATATACTAATGTACTGGTGTTGTGACAAAGACAGACATGGAGCTCACCTATAGAGTTACAAATGTACTGGTGTTGTGACAAAGACAGACATGGAGCTCACCTATAGAGATACAAATGTACTGGTGTTGTGACAAAGACAGAATTGGAGCTCACCTATAGAGATACAAATGTACTGGTGTTGTGACAAAGACAGACATGGAGCTTACCTATAGAGATACAAATGTACTGGTGTTGTGACAATGACAGACACTGAGCTCACCTATAGAGATACAAGTGTACTTGTGTTTGTGACAATGACAGACATGGAGCTCACCTATAGAGATACAAATGAAGAGAAGGCCTCCAACCCCTGGAAGCGCTGGGGCCCAAAGAAGCTCGTAGACTTCACTCTCCAGCATGGTGACAAAGATCACCACAGCAATACCTGCAGAGACACCTGGCCACACAGACAACGCACACACCCGGTTAGTGGGATTGACACAGCTCTGTGTGTGGGTGTGTGCATGTGTGTGTGTGGGTGTGCATGTGTGTGTGGGTGTGTTGGCTGTCTCACAACTGAATGCATGTGTGCCTACATACATGCGTTTGTGTAGAGCGAGAGGTGGTGTGTATGTGGCTGGAACTCTCACAGATGTGTGTGTGGTGGTGTGTGCGCCCGCACATAGAAAACACTGGAGGTGATCAGACCCTGCCAACCCCCCCCCCCCCTCCCCCCCCTTTTTGCCCCCAATTATTTTCCAGCAGCAGATGGGTGGGCTCAAGCTTTATTTAATTGCATTAAAATATTATTATTGCAAAATTAAACAAGGCCCAAGCCCTTTGAGGCCCCTCGAAAATGATTGGTGGGAGCCTCAAGGGTTTAGGCCTTGTTAAAATGTACAATAGTAAAAGATCCTTTTCCACGCCTTCAGTCATACAGGATATACAGGGTTGGAACTATTCTTTACAGACCAGTCGGTACTTGGTGGGTGATGTGATCAACATCAGGCTGGCTGCTTTTACTTCCCAGGTCTTTACCTGGTACACATTCTAGGCTGGGCTAATCTGGGAGCGAAGGTCATTTGAAAAACAAAAAGACCTGCTCTGTCGAGAGTTAAATTATGCAACAGTAACAACAATGTTTGTCATGTGCTGAATGGGAAATCAGAAATATTACATTGGAATGAAATTATGAACTTTATCTTCTCTAGCCTAACTTCCCAGTCATTGTTTAGTAAATTCATGTTGATGTTTGGATGCCTCTATACTGGCGCCAGTTGGTATATAACAGCACTGGTTCGCTGGCATCTTGTTTATCTTTTTTTTAAATCTATTCTGGCATGGCCAGAGAATATAGTTTCTAGATATTGAAATTCTCGATTCAGCTTCAGGCATGTGCCAGTCAGCAATGTATATAGTGGACAAGTTTGTATTCTCACATCACTCCTCGTCTGGTCCAAAGTAACCGTCAGCAGTCCCAATATAACCTGATGGTTGAATGAGGCTTACCAGGATTTCTGTGTGAGGGGCTAATCCAGTAGGCTGCAATCCTAGAGAGGACAAACTACAACAAAACCAACGGACAATGAATGCTTCCTGCATTACTTCCCCTTGAGTTGTCTTCAACCTCCCAACAGATGGTATCAGTAGGACAACATCCGCAAGGTGGAACCTGCTCTCCTATGTAGGTCGGGACAACTGATTTTGGTTGGTTGTTGTACCCCACCAGGACATCACACAAGCGATAAACACCCGGTGACACAAAGTGCAACCATCCGGATGAAGGTCACCTGTAGAGAGGTCCGAGAAACCCCTTTCGCTGTTGTGGCCATATTGATAGCCCGGCTATATTCTGGGCCGGGCAGAAGCGGGGGGTGGGCTTCAAATAACAAAAAAAAAATTGCATCCCACATGGGGAAGACTTTTTTTTTTTACAATTTATTTTCATATGAAATAGACATCTTACTTTAAAAAAAAAGATTAAGCATGCATTGTTTACCCAGTTCATGAATGTTCGCAAATGCATATAGACATACACACATACAAACATATATGTACAAGAATGACTCAACACAGAACTAAGAAAACAGTATCAGCCAGCACCTACCTGCCACAGCAGAGAATGTCAAATATGCTGCCTTGATGTGAATGCGTCGATAGGACGGGCGTAGCACCAGCACGATGATCTTGACTATGTAGAGGATGATGCAGATCAAGCCGGCACAGAACGATGGTATGATGAATGCTCTGGCCACAAACAGCAATGATGGCACCTTGCTGAAGTCTGCAACAGTCAACAAACACCAGTGAAAGAATTGACATAAAATCTACAACAGTTAATCGTGTTAATGAGACATCAGATAACTGCCAATGAGACATCAGATAACTGCCAATGAGACATCAGATAACTGCCAATGAGACATCAGATAACTGCCAATGAGACATCAGATAACTGTCAATGAGACATCAGATAACTGTCAATGAAACATCAGATAACTGCCAATGAGACATCAGATAACTGTCAATGAGACATGATAACTGCCAATGAGACATCAGATAACTGTCAATGAGACATCAGATAACTGTCAATGAGACATCAGATAACTGTCAATGAGACATCAGATGACTGTCAATGAGACATCAGATGACTGTCAATGAGACATCTGATGACTGTCAATGAGACATCAGATAACTGCCAATGAGACATCAGATAACTGCCAATGAGACATCAGATAACTGTCAATGAGACATCAGATAACTGCCAATGAGACATCAGATAACTGCCAATGAGACATCAGATAACTGCCAATGAGACATCAGATAACTGCCAATGAGACATCAGATAACTGTCAATGAGACATCAGATAACTGTCAATGAGACATCTGATGACTGTCAATGAGACATCAGATGACTGCCAATGAGACATCAGATAACTGTCAACGAGACATCAGATAACTGTCAATGAGACATCAGATAACTGCCAATGAGACATCAGATAACTGCCAATGAGACATCAGATAACTGCCAATGAGACATCAGATAACTGTCAATGAGACATCAGATAACTGCCTATGAGACAACAGATAACTGTCAATGGAGCATCAGATAACTGCCAATGAGACATCAGATGACTGCCAATGAGACATCAGATAACTGTCAATGAGACATCAGATAACTGCCAATGAGACATCAGATAACTGCCAATGAGACATCAGATAACTGTCAATGAGACATCAGATAACTGTCAATGAGACATCAGATAACTGCCAATGAGACATCAGATAACTGTCAATGAGACATCAGATGACTGTCAATGAGACATCAGATAACTGCCAATGAGACATCAGATAACTGTCAATGAGACATCAGATAACTGCCAATGAGACATCAGATAACTGTCAATGGGGCATGACATGGTTGCCAATGTGACATTAAATGGTTGCCAATGGGGCATCAGATGGTTGTCAACTGGAAATCATATGGTTGCAAGTGGGACATCGAGAGGTTGTTAATGAGACATCGCGTGGTTGCCAATAGGACATCAGATGGTTGCAAGTGGGACATCAGAAGGTTGTAAGTGAGACATCGTGGTTGCCCGAATTAAGGTCACAGAAAAATTATCTCTGGTGTACCGGATAGCTAGCATAACTGAGGCGTGCAGTGTTTGGTTGTCATGGAGATCTTCTAAATAAGAGTGTTCGCTGACATGTAATGTACTACAAATATTTCAACAATGAGAGATAACAGTCGCGAGATAACTCGGAATCAGATGTGAAGATCTCTACAAGACAGTGCTAAAAATCACATGAACAGTTTGTGAGAGGTCGTCCTGTAGTTTGTGAAGCTGTAGAAGAAGACATATTACAGAAAAGTATTTGCCAAATACATTACACGATAATCTGGATGCACTTGTGAAAGTGTTTAGAATCACTGCAAAACAGGCACTAGCAAATAGCTCCTTACATCCGCCTTTCTGCACTAGACTATGAACTGATCTTTCACCAGCCAGCGTCTCTGGTCTAGGATCACCGCAAGTAAACTATGGAATGGCCCCTTACAGACTATTATAGCGGGAAATCAGACTATGAGATGGTCCCTGGCGGCGTTTTGGCTGGTTAATCAGCACCGGTCCAAGACTGAGATAAGGTAAAACAGCTGCGATCAAACATGGCGGCACGTAAACAGGCAGCAACAGATAATTGTCAGGATATGATCATCCATCACCTGTCGATGAAGCTCAACCGTTACTGGATCAGGAAAACACCAGATAAGCTTATCATGGAGATATGGCGTCTGTGGTTCCTTGGTTCTGTTGTCCAGGCAACCATGATTCGTTTGATCATCATCATCAGGTGCCTTGTCAACTGGTGTGGGCGATCATGCCTTTTCACAATCTGCAATCTCCTGCAGCATGTATCAGTTTGTCTGCTGACACACCTCCATGCCGTGCAACAAGACTGTCAACGTTGCTGTAATTGTGTGTTTGTTGCAGGAGTGGACGGCAGGGGACAAGACTACGACACAAACTGTGTTGCTGGTGTAACGGTGTGTTTGTTGCAGGAGTGGGAGGGGACAATACCGCGACAAAAACTGTGTTGCTGGTGTAACGGTGTGTTTGCTGCAGGAGTGGGCAGGGGACAAGACCGCGACAAAAACTGTGTTGCTGGTGTAACGGTGTGTTTGTTGCAGGAGTGGGAGGGGACAATACCGCGACAAAAACTGTGTTGCTGGTGTAACGGTGTGTTTGCTGCAGGAGTGGGCAGGGGACAAGACCGCGACAAAAACTGTGTTGCAGGTGTAACGGTGTGTTTGCTGCAGGAGTGTACGGCAGGGGACAGACCGCGACAAAAACTGTGTTGCTGGTGTAACGGTGTGTTTGTTGCAGGATTGGACAGGGGACAAGACTGCGACAAAAACTGTGTTGCTGGTGTAACGGTGTGTTTGTTGCAGGATTGGACAGGGGACAAGACCGCGACAAAAACTGTGTTGCTGGTGTAACGGTGTGTTTGTTGCAGGATTGGACAGGGGACAAGACTGCGACAAAAAAACTGTGTTGCTGGTGTAACAGTGTGTTTGTTGCTTGTGTAACGGTGTGTTTGTTGCTGGTGTAACGGTGTGTTTGTTGCTTGTGTAACGGTGTGTTTGTTGCTGGTGTAACGGTGTGTTTGCTGCTGGTGTAACGGTGTGTTTGTTGCTGGTGTAACGGTGTGTTTGTTGCTGGTGTAACGGTGTGTTTGTTGCTAGTGTAACGGTGTGTTTGTTGCTGGTGTAACGGTGTGTTTGTTGCTGGTGTAACGGTGTGTTTGTTGCTTGTGTAACGGTGTGTTTGTTGCAGGTGTAACGGTGTGTTTGCTGCTGGTGTAACGGTGTGTTTGTTGCTGTTGTAACGGTGTTGTTTGTTGCTGGTGTAACGGTGTGTTTGTTGCTGGTTGTAACGGTGTGTTTGTTGCTAGTGTAACGGTGTTGTTTGTTGCTGGTGTAACGGTGTGTTGTTGCTGGGTGTAACGGTGTGTTTTTGTCTGGTGTAACGGTGTGTTTGTTGCTAGTGTAACGGTGTGTTTTTGTTGTCAGGTGTAACGGTGTGTTTGTTGCTGGTGTAACGGTGTGTTTGTTGCTAGTGTAACGGTGTGTTTGTTGCTAGTGTAACGGTGTGTTTTGTTGCTGGTGTAACGGTGTGTTTGTTGCTGGTTGTAACGGTGGTGTGTTGTTGCTGGTGTAACGGTGTTTTGTTGCTGGTGTAAAACGGGTGGTGTTTGTTGCTAGTGTGTACGGTGTGTTTGTTGCTGGTGTAACAGTGTTTGTTGCTGGTGTAACAGTGTGTTTGTTGCTGGTGTAACGGTGTGTTTGTTGCAGGTGTAACGGTGTGTGTTGTTGCAGGTGGTAACGGTGTGTTGTTGCTGTGTGTAACGGTTGTTTGTTGCAGGTTGTGTAACGTGTGTTGTTTGTTGCTGGTGTGTACGTGGTGTGTTTTGTTGCAGTTGTAACGGTGTGTTTGTTGCTGGTGTAACGGTGTGTTTGTTGCAGGTGTAACGGTGTTGTTGTTTGCAGGTGTAACGTGTGTGTTGTTGCTGGTGTAACGGTGTGTTTGTTGCTGGTGTAATGGTGTGTTTGTTGCTGGTGTACGGTGTGTTTGTTGCTGGTGTAACGGTGTGGTTTGTTGCTGGTGTAACGGTGTGGTGTTGTTGCTGGTGTAACGGTGTGTTTGCTGCTGGTGTAACGGTGTGTTTGTGTTGCAGGTGTAACGGTGTGTTTGTTGCTGGTGTAACGGTGTGTTTGTTGCTGGTTGTAACGGTGTGTTTGTTGCTGGTGTAACGGTGTGTTTGTTGCAGGTGTAACGGTGTGTTTGTTTTCAGGTGTAACGTGTGTTTTGTTGCAGGTGTAACGTGTGTGTTGTTGCTGGTTGTAACGTGGTGTGTTTGTTGCTGGTTGTAACGGTGTGTTTGTTGCTGGTGTAACGTGTTTGGTGTGTTGCTGGTGTAACGTTGTGTTTGTTGCTGTTGTAACGGTGTGTTTGTTGCTGGTGTAACGGTGGTGTTTTGTTGCTGGTGTACCGGTGTGTTGTGTTTGCTGCTGGTGTAACGGTGTGTTTGCTGCTGGTGTAACGGTGTGTTTGTTGCAGGTGTAACGGTGTGTTTGTTGCTGGTGTAACGGTGTGTTTGTTGCTAGTGTAACGGTGTGTTTGTTGCTGGTGTAACGGTGTGTTTGTTGCTGGTGTAACGGTGTGTTTGTTGCTGGTGTAACGGTGTGTTTGTTGCAGGTGTAACGGTGTGTTTGTTGCTAGTGTAACGGTGTGTTTGTTGCAGGTGTAACGGTGTGTTTGTTGCTGGTGTAACGGTGTGTTTGTTGCAGGTGTAACGGTGTGTTTGTTGCTGATGTAACAGTGTTTGTTGCAGGTGTAACGGTGTGTTTGTTGCTGGTGTAACGGTGTGTTTGTTGCAGGTGTAACGGTGTGTTTGTTTCACGTGTAACGGTGTGTTTGTTGCAGGTGTAACGGTGTGTTTGTTGCTGGTGTAACGGTGTGTTTGTGCTGGTGTAACGGTGTGTTTGTTGCTGGTTGTAACGGTGTGTTTGTTTGCTGGTGTAACGGTGTGTTTGTTGCTGGTGTAACGGTGTGTTTGTTGCTGGTGTAACGGTGTGTTTGTTGCTGGTGTACGGTGCGTTTGTTGCTGGTGTAACGGTGCGTTTGTTGCTGGTGTAACGGTGTGTTTGTTGCTGGTGTAACGGTGTGTTTGTTGTGTGTAACGGTGTGTTTGTTGCTGGTGTAACGGTGTGTTTGCTGCTGG